CAATAAAATGGAAGCGGCATTGACAAAACTGTACTGTATGAAACTAAATAAAAGTATAACAAAAATACTAGTAGGTATGCAAGGGAAGAAAAAGTAGGGAAAGAGCGAATATAAAGATAGGAGACAAAAAATTAGAAGAAGTGACTGATTTTAGGTATTTAGGAAATCAGATAAGTCAGGATTGAAAGAGTGGTAGGGATATAAAGCAGAGGATAGCGCAGGGTCGAGTCGCCTTCAATAAAAAGAAATCACACAATTCGAAAAAGATTGTTAAAGGTGTGTTTGGAGCACGGCGCTGTACGGGTGCGTAACCTGGACGGTGGGTGCGGCGGAAAAGAGAAGGTTAAAAGCGTTCGAAAGGTGGTTAAAAATGAAGAGGTATTAGAAAGAAAAGAGAACAGAGGACTTTACGGAAGTCAGTAAGAAATAGGCGAAATACGTTGGTAGGACACTTTCTCAGGCCATGAAGGTCTAGTCAGAGACATGTTAGAGGCAGAAACGGATGTTAGGAGGGGTAAAGGTAGACCTTGGTTAGATTACTGTTCGCAAATAGTTAAGGATATGGGTTGTTCTAGTTTTAGGGAAATGCGAAGATTAGCTTAGGGTAGGAAAGAGTGGAGGTACGTGTCCAACCAGTCATAGCACTGACGACCTGACGATGATGATAGTAGTTGAACAGGCAGTAGAATGACCCGAAATGCTACTGCAAAGAGCCCGAGATATGACATATCTATTGGGATATTTCACATTAGACGACAGTACTTAATATCGCCATATATAAATTGTTTTAACTAGTCCTGAGTGCTTGCTTAGTTTTCTTTAAATAAAATGTAACTACCTAGTTTTAATCGGACTCTCCTGAATCAACGACTTCACATAACGGAAACATATCCGGGCAAAATCTTGTTTATATATTTTGCAACTTAATTGCATATAGTATACGTTATGTATACATTAATATACGCTAATACGATACTTCCAACTAAAGCGATGTTTGAACGGCGTCTTACTCAGGGGGTTGTTTCGTAAATCTGTTGAACTTGATTTCGTTGGAATGCTCAGCTAAGACTTAATACATATTTATTCATGGCAACGGGAGGTTTGATTGATGATGAAACGCTCTTTTATTTGCTTTCCACTAATTTATTATATTGTAAATAAATGTACATGATGATTAAGAAACATTTCTTCAATCTTTAAAACTTTTGACGCAAATGATATTTATGTTTGACGCATATGTTTGTATATGAGTCTGCGACAATCGTCCCTGTAATTTTCAATTTTAGCAGTTATAAAAGCATATTTAATAAGGGTGTAGCTACTATTGACATCTAATTGGTCATTTAATGTTAAATTATTATTATTGTTGTATTTTTACATTCAAAGGAAAATCTATTTCTAACTAAAATCTAATTCCATCTTTATTGAATATGTCTATTAATAAAATTGTAATATCCATTATACGGCGAAACAATTCTCGCTGTAACTAAGATTAGATAAATAACTTTGTGAAAACTCACTGGCGCTTTCATTCTATTAAAAATTAATTTAAAACTTTCACAATGTATAGATCAACACAATCAATATTATTTATGCATGAGTTGTCAATTTTCGACATTTAGGAAGTCAGAAAACATGTTAGGAAGAAAAAAGCGCTATAGATACAAAACAAGGAAAAGCGTGGGTCGGGTCGCTTGTAACAAAAAGAAATCGCTTTTGTGCTCGCGATCGGTTAACTTAGAAAATCGGAAAAAGTGTATGTTTAGAGCATGGCTTTGTATGGGTGTGAAACGAAGGCGATGGGCGCTATGGAATAGAATATGTTAGAAGGGTTTGATACGTCGTCTCAGAGCCCTTACGAAGGGGGGATGCCCCCAACAATGTCTACTTCAGCAGGTTTTTTCAACTTGTGCTATTAACATGTTACCTATTTCATACTTTTGTGTAAAAGCGCGTGTAGGTAAATCTGCTTGAGAAACGCGAAGAGCATTACAAAATTGTTGTAGAACAAAATAATTCGAAGTGGTCTGTATTCTGTCAAACTGCCAGACGTGGATCGCGATTAAAGATCGAAATCGCGAAACTTTTACCTGCTGCCTTAACAGCGCGTTTTAGAAAATACGACAAAAAAATACGATAAAAGTTGGTCTGTATTCTGTCGGAGCTGCCTGCGACGCGCTGATGAGATCCAAAAAGATCGAAATCGCGATCCGCGTCTGGCAGTTTCGACAGAATACAGACCACTTCAAATTATTTTATTCGATTATGGTAACGTACCTATCACGTCGAGGTTAGCTACGCCGGGATTCGTTTCAGCAAGTAGATATCCATATATTTAAATGGACCTTGCTGAAGCATACGTAATCCTAAAATGTAGCATTGTACTACAGATGGCGTTTACAGCGCCATTTGTCGTATTTTCTTGTTGTAGAACGTTTGAAACCAAAATCAAACATTTTCACAAAAAGATTTTTACAAGTGAAAATATTGAAAAATTGGGTGGCTTCGAACCAAAGAAAATTTGGTTTACTTAAAACAGTTAAAAATTCGATCTGGTCAATCACCAAAGAAGAGAGGCTTGTTCTAACCATGATAAAAAAGTAAATGAGAGGTTTTAGATGTTGTTGATCATATGGTGAATTTATGGACAAAACTTAAACACAGACGAATTCCAATAAGCTAGTGATACCTATTTACCTCTTTTTATTTATACATGCAAGGTTTTGTCAATTACATCCCTCTAGATGAACAGTATTATTATTTGTACGTAGGTACGAGATAAGTTGATAGTACACCTTCTGAAGGAGGCATATTGAAAGCAGAAACAGGAGGTAAGAGAAGTAGATTGGGTGAAGACAGAAAGAAGTGAAGAGATCGTATTTCAATCTTTGGTGATGAATAATGGTACATATTACAAATAGAATTAAGAGACTTTGCAAATATTGAAGATGTCACAATATAGCGAAACGATTGTCCAATGAATCAAACGTGTGGAAATTATGGATCTTTTAACATATCGCATTTATGCTTTTTGTTTTTATTATCGGTTGTGCTAAATATAGCATTTCTTAAATCTTAACGTCAAACTTTTTTGATTGTTGTATCAAATTTGTCCGTACAAACGACACGAAAATAAAAAAAGAAACCGAAAAGAACAACCGTTCGTATAATTTCAGACGCCGCGTCCGACAAAAAGCAGAAGACATCGATTGAGACTAATGGAAAACGAGACAAGAAAGAGCATCCTGTACACCAGGCCCGTATTAATAGATTTTCCTTCGGGCCTTTGCGAGAATCTTTCGGTCAAACTGAAAGAGAAGTAACGAAAAGGAAAATAAAACAGGAGGCGCGACAGCGGTACGACGCGGCGGTAGTACAAGAGAGAGACGCTGGTCGTTAGCGTCACCTTTTTATGCTTCGGGTTGGTTGTCGACATCAATTGATTCGTACCTTTCTTTCGTTCCCTTGTGAATCCTTACAGTAGTGCAGACATGACCCCTTATTCGTTCAGTGAGAACGAGAAACGTCGTTTTTAGACAAAGTTTCCACAACCGAGATAAACGTCAAATGTAATGTACAACAGTACAATTTTATTTCATTCAATAAGAACATTCAATAAATACCATTGTTGTTCACAAAAATTCATCCAAACATTTGAACTTAATTTATTAACAAATTAGTACAAGTACAAAAATTGCAATAGAAATGGTGATTGTCTAAATGGTTCAAAGGTTATCTTGTTACTGTTTAATTCATTTTCAAAATTGTTCTCACTGAATTTGGGTTGTGGGCGGTACAGAAAACAAGTGGAAGGGTGGTACCTCCCTTACATTCAAATTTTTAGATATGCCGCGTAATTTCCTGATATGGTTCCAGGATGACCGGTGACCTTAGTTTTACCGAGCGGCATGGCCTAGAGGTTTAGACCATTGCTTAGCATTCGGGAGGACGCCGGTTCGATTCTGGGTCCGTCTGCCTTGGTCCAAGTTTTTCTGTGGTTTCCTTGGACCACTTAGGCAAATGCTGAGGCAGTAATACTCCACAGATAATCTTTCATTCTCTTCTGTCCTTCATTTCGTCCGTCTCAACTTTCTTACCCGAACCACCACCCACCCATTCCCACGATTCCTGAAAGCAGGCTGAAGAGGGCCTTCCGCCCTACCTTCCGGCATAGTCCGGAGGGACTGCCCGCCCACCAGCAATACTGGTTGGTGGGAATGAAACACCCAAAAGTTTTTTTTTTCCGGTGACTGTTACTAGGTACCTATCTAATTGGAGTCTTCTGCGAAGGGATGGTTTTTTGTGCTTAGACGCTGTTCTACTAAATGAGGGGTTATTCCACTCATAAACATAAATATTTGTACGTGCCAACAACAGTGACAGTTGAAATATAATTGTTTGTTCAAAAATTCCTAAACTAAGGTATTATATTGTTATATGATCGTACAACCATTAAAATTTGAAGCATTCTAATTTTCTAAAACAAAATGATGATACACACAAACATGTAGAATTCACAAACGTTCTCTTTCTCTCATTTGATTAGATAATCCTAAAAATACTGATTCCCATATAATATGAATACAAAGATTGGGAAATTCAGTAAAAATTAGTTATTTTAACTCCGTTTATAATGTCAGCTTTGTATTATTTCACGACCAAATGTGTGACTTGCTATACTGAGTTATGGTTGGTAAAAAGTTTTGTCTTCTCATGTAGCAACAAACATGGTTTTTTTAATCTGGATATAGCGACTGCGTGGTAATCAAGAAGGGCTTTATTTTTGGACTGCACAAAACATATTGTGGTAATTGTAAGTGCTATGTATAAATAAGCGATTTATTGATTAAAGGTATCACCAATAACGGGTAAACATTCAAATAATGTAAATATCTACAGATATATGAATTGGTTATAACGTCTGCTGGTTATAGCCACCGCGTATGTCTGTTGTAGGTTTAAATTAGCTATGATTATAAGTAAACAGTATCAAAACTCACCAAGTACCACTGCTCCTTGAAAAGGGGATCGGGAAAGCCAGCTTGACGATAACGTAGATGCGTATGGGTTGGCCTGATTCCTGGTGCTACGGCGCTCAAGTATTGTTCGAAGGGTTGTGACGATGTATCGATGTAATCCCTCTTCTTTCGTCTTTTTTCATGTTGCTGTTGAACCCACTTGACCTAAAACAAAATTAAATTTACTTTAGCAACCGAAAAACCATTTTATGGCAGTTCAAAAACTTTGGTGCCCCGAAAAGATCGGCATTCCAGTTTTACATTCAGCAAAAAACTTCCTTCAATAACTCCAGGAAGGCGATGTAATTTTATTTTTAACAAATGATTTTCAATTTTTATCTTTCACCCCCCTACAAACCAGCAATTCCATACACACGAATTTAGCAATTTTGATAATTAATATGAAAAAATGAATAAGTAATCGGTACAAATACTGTTACGTATTATACATATCATGAGAGGAAGGTAGAGTAGAACTTACCCCTAAACACAAACTGGGTTTGACGGGTGCATTAGTGAACATGAGTGTCACAACATACCTGCATTGTTAGACGTATATATATATATATATACCTCCTTCGTCTATAATGCACTTAAAGAAAGCGATTTGACGTTCAAATACATAGAGAAGTACATCAAACTGTCTCTTGGAATTTTCTGTTCAGAAATAGGGTAAGTAACTGTGTATTTTGTGCTGTACATGCATGAAAGCATTTGTTTTAGACACAGGAAACTCCCCCCCACTCTACTGTCAAACTTGGCTACATTACTTCCAAAAACACCCTCTCCCTCTTGCGTCGTGATGTTATATATGAACAGCCCCCAAACATCCATTCAATTTTTTATGAGACCAACGTGTTTCTTTAATAATTTTTCATGTTATCGTCTATTTACATGTCAGAGCTACAAATCGCCCTAATATTTCAGTTTTTCCTGATCCTGAAAAGGCATCATCTTCCGAATAATGATTCCCTGCCAAACACTTACAAGAAATTGTTGCGAATTTGTCGACAGGGATCTACGAGTTACGAAGGACATTAGCTCCTTTAACACATTGTTTCTCTTTTTTTTTGTTGTAGTTCCTACCAAAAAACAACATCCCTACGACGTAAATGTCTAACAAACCGGGAAATTTATTAACGTTTTATAATGATAACTCGTAGCAGATAGACTTCGTAGTTACATGGCATCCCATTATGGGTGCTATATTACAATGCTAAAGTTTTCAATATGGTAGGTAAATGAGTTTGTTACATACGATCATATTTAGGTAGATTTTAACGTGAGATAAATTTACTGTCGGTATTACGAAGCACGAAATGAATTATTAAACTGAAGAAAAAAAAGGACGAAGTAGTTCGATAATTAGACATTGTTAATTAAACTATGCGAAGTTGAAACCGCACAATATTACTGTGGTAAATTAGTTTTTGAAATATAAATTTATCAAAAAAATGAAAGAAAAAGCGCATTATATATAGTTAAAATTTGGTATTAACATTCTACAAAAAAACAATTAACAAAATTAACAAAGTTTTTCTCAATCCTCACCAATATTATAAATGCAAATGTGAGTTTGTTTGTTTGTATGTCATCTTTTCACGCCTTAACCACTCAATCGATCAGAAAAGGACATAGGGTACCTTTTATCCAGAAAAAAAATACTGTTCCCGATGGATAGAAAAAATTAGTTTTATGTGGTCGATTTCATACCTTAAATACTCAATCAATCATCATGCATTTTTGTAGACATATTGCCAGGGGCACGGAAAAGGACATAGGGTACCTTCCATCCAGAAAAAAATACTGTTCCCGATGGATAGAAAAAATTAGTTTTATGTGGTCGATTTCATACCTTAAATACACAATCGATCATCATGCATTTTTGTAGACATATTGCCAGGGGCACGGAAAAGGACATAGGGTACCTTCCATCCAGAAAAAAATACTGTTCCCGATGGATAGAAAAAATTAGTTTTAGGTGGTCGGTTTCACGCCTTAACTAGTCAATCGATCATCATGAAATTTTTTAGTCACATTGCCAGGGGCACGGAAAAGGACATAGGGTACCTTCCATCCAGAAAAAAATACTGTTCCCGATGGATAGAAAAAATTAGTTTTATGTGGTCGATTTCATACCTTAAATACTAGTCAATCGATCATCATGAAATTTTTTAGTCACATTGCCAGGGGCACGGAAAAGGACATAGGGTACCTTCCATCCAGAAAAAAATACTGTTCCCGATGGATAGAAAAAATTAGTTTTATGTGGTCGATTTCATACCTTAAATACACAATCGATCATCATGCATTTTTGTAGACACATTGCCAGGGGTACGGAAAAGGACATAGGATACCTTTTATCAAGAAAAAATACTGTTCCCGAGGGATAGGAAAAAAATAGTCTTATATGGTCGATTTCACGCCTTAACTAGTCAATCCATCATCATGAAATTTTGTAGACACATTGTTAGAGATACAGAAAAGGACATATAGTACCTTAATCCAGAAAAAGATACTGTTTCCGAAGGACGGAAAATTTTGTTTTATGTGGTAGTTGATGATCATTGATACGTATTTAGGATACCAATGTGAGAGAAGCCGCGGGTAACATCTAGTTATTTATAAATACTTGTGAAAATACTAGGTTGTAGTTGCATATTTTTATCTAAACAGATAATGAATAACATTTGATAGTAATTTGCCCTTATCTTCATAATCTACCCTGCATAATTGGCTAGTTCTTATTAATTTTTTAAATTTCGACTAGATGAATTTAGGATTAATATTGAGGAAGTATCTGTGCTTCTTCGCCAAAATTTTAGAAATTGAATGTTCACTGATGTTTCTACAAAATAAACACATATTCATCATATTGTCTTTTGATAAATCTTTGAAATTCCAGATATGGACACGACAACAAATATTAACACCAAATCATTGTAATAAAGTAAAATTGTTTTACGGCAATTAATTAATAAATAATTAACTAAATCAATTTAACTGAGCAAGTAGGTCTATGGTGTCACAATCAATAATGCGTAAAATATAAAAACGTACTTTATTGATATGGTACCATCACTTTAATTCATACATTAGCAACGCTAAACTTTGGACAAGAATAAATACCATTAAAAATTAATTGAAATGACTTACCCCAAAAACCAATAGTTATCCACAATTGCATAAAATTCAACTAAATGCTGTATTCAAAGAACAACAAAATTATAAAGTTTGTTTACCTTAAAACAATGTTTATAAACATTTTAACGATTTACTAGCACGTAAAGTTCGCCTTTACCGATGGTTATTCAGTTATCTGGTATTCGGAAAAAACCATTTTAGACATAAACAATTTTACAAATATTGAGTTAAAGTTCTTAATTTAAACAATTTGTATAGTAATTTATTTTTTACTTTAAGTTAGATTCTTGACCGTTACTTTTAAATTATGTAGTTTTTTCCAGAGTGGCGGTCAAATAATTAAACAACTTTATGTTTTTGTAACGTTTCGGTTTACTTAACCATCTTTAGACTGAAAAAAGATGTTTTTTACTTATAATTCTACTAGGTTAGGTACCTACTACACATTTGTTTCTGCCACTTGAATAGGTATAATCTCTAACTATCAATTATATTTTACAAACAAAAGTATAGTGCCTAACCTAATAGAACTATAAGTAAAAAAAAATTTTACAATCTGAATATGGTTGAGATAACGGAAACGCTACAAAAAACAAAGTTGTTTTATTATTTGACCGCCACCCTGGAAAAAAACTACATAATTTAGTAATTTATATTAGTGTAATTCAGAAATTTTTAAGCAATTGACTGCCTTTTACAATAAAACATTTCAGTGTAATATTATTCCAATCTGCAATGGAATTAATGAAATCCAATGGTAGTTCCCAGCTTCCAGTATTATTTAATTTATTAATTTGACGCAATGTGCAAATATTGAATTTTCTACCATTACTAGGGATAACGTTGATACAATTTCATAGTAGAAAATGTCATTTTAGTATTGATTCTAGTTGACCAAAGATAGTGTTGTAACAGTAATTACATGTCGTTAATAAATGTGCACATCCGGGAATTATTTGTCTATATTTGTATGTATAAAACATCCAGATAATTAGAAATTATTGCCATAAATGTTGTATAAAAATAAAGAGGATCAATAGTCATGCAAATGTTTAAATTTAGCTTATAAAAATATAGAAGAAAAAAATCAATTGTCGTTTATCTACTGTTGTATGCCCTTAATTGAAAGGACTTTTTTCTTGAAAAAAAAAATTACAAACAGCGGAAAAAATAATCATGGAATCGGAAGCAGTCGCAATCTTCGGGGACACTCTTATTTCTACCTCTAAGTCACTGAAATTTTGTTAATGTTTTTCTAACTTGGAGCAATGTAAAAATTTCGAAACTTTAAACGTATGTTGACAATATACATACTCATCTAGGGAAATCACTCCCACATTGGTACTAATACGTCTACCCTGTAATGATATGATTTTCCACTCCCAAAGTTCTTTATGTAACCTTAGTGAAAGTACATAAATAAATATAAAGATGTCTCAAGGGAGTAGGTTTGGTTGGAATTACATTCATTTCGAAATCAGTAATAATCTAGTACCATTGTTCCTAATCTATATTCTCCCTTATTCCCTTTGGAGATCAAACTGAGTTCAGATGTTGAAAGTCTAAACGGGATCGTTAGTATTAGGTACCTACATGTCTGTGTTTGTGTATGCATTTTATTCCCATTTGTTTTGCTAGGCGTTCATCTCCATTTCGTAGTTAAACGAATCCGATTGATTACGATCTACGTATCTGCTAGTTCTCAATTTTCTCATTTCTTTTATCTACTCCTCGTGTGTTATTTTGTCATTGAAATCGTATTTTTACGATCGGAATAGTACGTATGGTAAGGTAAGCAAGTATCTTTAGTATAGGGTTTGTTCAGTAATTACAGGGACTACATCCAGAAAAAAAAGATTTATTGCAAATATTTTCTACTTGAACTGGAAGTGCTTCTATTCCAGGTGATAGATATTCTTCTGGGAAGTCTTCTATGCTTTCGTGTTCTTTTTCAATCGAAGGAATAGTAAAGTGGTAGGTAGTGACAAGTTGTAGCAGTGCTTAGTTCTCTTCTTCGGACA